CAAATTGTTATGTTCACAACATACATAAACATAAGTATGTTATGGTAATTTTCAACCCCTTATTTTCGCTAATTTTCAGCCTTATTAATTTTGCTAATTTTATTTTGATTGTTAGACAACCCTTAAACAAAATAAACAAATTGTTTTCTCTCTTTTAGTTTTTTTGCGATAATTGAAGCAATTTTGCAGTCCTTTTGTCTAAATGATCTTAGTTTAAAAAGTAGATGAATAGTTTTTGCTCATGGAGATGCCAGCCGACAGGTTGATGCCTTTTTGCTATTCTCCCAAGCCGAACATTATTGTAAACATACGTTTTCATAGAATGTATGCTTATAAATTTTGGCTTGAAACTAAAGTTATTATTATTATTATTTCGAATAGTTACAAGAGAGTTGACAAAAGGCAATGAATTTTAGCATGGTGATCAAACTAACAACTGCGAACAGATTTGTGAGTTATACTTCTTAGTTTAAAACTTAGCATTACGCATTGAGCCGGATGTAACAACAAGTAATGCAACTATAAAAATCAAAACTTTGAAAGGTGGTCGAGCGGAAAAAAAAACCAAAAAAACTGAAAGCTTGATTTGAAAAATTGCTCTGTATAAAATATTTAAAATGAAAAAAAAAACCATATATTGACCCCGGGATAAATAATCATTTTCAGCATCCTCAATATGAAGTGCGGAAATGCTTAGGGTAATAAATAACTAGTGGACAAAATTAGGCGCATATTTAGGTTTTTAGTTTTAAAATGCCTAACTTTTTGGACAATATTTACTTGAAGTTTTAACAAAACTTAAAATCGACCGACAGCAAATGACCATAACTACCCTCTCTGAAAGTCTCAATTGAAGCGCTTGCTAGTTTTTTTCTGGATCTGAAAACGCCAGTTCTCAACGTCCGTACGTGTGATATTGTAACGCGTGATATTGTAAGAGTTTAGTGAAATTGTCACAAGGATTGTTTCAGTTTTCTCGCTGAGAATGTTTCACGTCGCATGAAAAGTTTTTTTGCTCCGCTTATGCGAGAAAGAGTTCATTACCCGCACCGAGCCCTCATGTACCAAACTCGATTATACTGATTATCTATAGATTGAAATCCTTTAAAAATGGATTAAAATCCTAGTATTTTTTTGTCAAAACAATCCCAATATTTTTAGTCCAATATAATCCATTATAATTGATTATATCTGATCATAATAGATTTTTTCGGAAGGTTATTTATGAAATTTTTCAACGTTCTTCAAAGTTATCTCATTTCCGGCTTAGTGCAGTTGCAACGTATTATCTTTCATAAAACGATACATTTCACATTAAAAATTGAATATTTTTTGTCTCTACTTTTTCAATGCATCTTAGTTCTTCACTTCATTTCGCAAGGGGAGTGGGTAAAGTTGTTAGGGGGGCATTAAATAATTGTAGAACTTGGGGGCTGAATGGTGATTTAACTCCCCTAACCTAGTTTACTTTACACACCCTTACACCCCCTCGCTGCCAGTTTACCACAACTGCCATTCGCCCTCCTCCTTATGGTTGGACATTGGGAAACAATTTATTGGTTAGATTCTCGGGAGGCGGGGTGGGGGGGGGGGGGGGGAGGAAGATAAATGATCTTCAGATAAATGATCTTCCAGATCTTCAGTTGGAGTGGAAGGTAAAAAACTTGAGCGGGTGACGTTAGACATGGCATTTAGTAAGAGATGCAACATTTCAGCAAAAATAATCGAATTTATTTCAAAAAACAAAATGGATTAAAATGGATTATCATGGCAAAAATAATCGATTTCAGTGCCAAAAATAATGGATTGTTATCGACTATAATGGATTATAATGAATTTTTGTTACAAAAAAGTGATTATAAAGGATTATCATGGCAAAAATAATCGTTTCATTGCCAAAAAGAATGGATTATAATTGACTATAATGGATTATAGTGGATTATTTTTTCAAAAACAATCGGATATAATGGTAATATAATCGATTTTGTCGTCTGAATTTTCATGAATTATAATGAATTATTTTTGGTTCGGGAATCCATTATAATCGATTAGAATTCATGGGCGCTCGGTGCGGGTAAGATACAAAACCTAGCGCCAACGGTGAAAACTGGCATTTTCAGACCCGGAAAAAAACTGTTGAGTGCTTCAAATTAAAAATTGATACTTTCAGAGAAAATAGTTCAGATCATTTGCTGTCGGTCAATGTTAAAATTTTGTTAAAATTCAAAGTAAATATTGTCTAAAATGATCCTTAAACGTAGGCTTTTTAAAGACTTAAAACATGAACTTGCGTTTAGTTTTGTCCACTAAAGTAGTCCACTACCACAGGCGGCCTTCCACAGTATTTGGTCGATCATTCTTGTACCTGTGACTTATATCATCTACTTGTTCAGGCTGCTTACTCTCAACTACACGTGGTCGTCCCCTCGCAACCATGAAGCCTCTCTTCTCCAGAGTAAATACCACAATATTCGGACGTCAGCTCTTGAACCTGAAAGAATTTTGAGAGACACACCTCTTGAAAATTTCACCATGTCTGCGAAGTGGCACAAATCAAAGTGAGAAAACGATTTATTTACACTTAGAGGTTGATTGGGTAATTTATAATTTGATGATCACATTTTTTTGAAAAAACGGACAAGCATTGAGCTTGAAACAAAAAGGATCCTAGCTATGACATGCAAGTATCGCATAATGTTCCAAGCTGATTAGGGAAAAAATCAAAAATAAAAAACCCTTTAAAAACAAAAAAATGATATTTTTTCAGTTTTTGTCTAAAAATTTTTTTTGAATTGTTCATACGGTATTTTGCAACAAAGACATTTTTAGGTATTTGTTTAATTTAAGCAATGATTTGTAAAACTTTGACGGGTGACAATTTGTTATTAACGTTTTATCATAACAGGTACTTGCTGATATGCGGTAAGCGAGACGAAACAACTGATTCATAGAACCATTTATTGAAGTCTGAGCTCTTGTTCATAGTTCTCTGGCTAAGCGTCTTTACAAGGTCAATCGACCAAACAAACAGTTTACTCAGCATAGTGAGTTGAATATAGTATATATCTAAATTTGTCAATCCGTGCCGGATGACAAAAATGATCGTCTTCTAGATTTGCCTTCTAGGAAACACCAATTGCATCTGCGAACGCTGTAAAATCAAAAACTTTTTGGAGGAGAAAAGTATACAAGTTGGACACATGAATAATACTGACCCAATAACATTAAATTGATTTTTTCTTCTTGGTTTTCATTTTCTTTGCATCAATCGTGTTGATCGGTACGGGGTTTCCAGGGGCGTTTGCCAAGGTCGACTTTCGGTTGCAAACTGATTTTCTGGTCGGTTCGGTGGGTAGGGCATTTGGTGGTATTTTCTTTTTGTCGAGTCGTTTTGACGACGGTGCCGAGTTTTTCGATGTCGTAGATAACTTTTCGTCGTCATGTTCCCCGCTGGAAGAGATTTCCTCAGGGGTGGCTCTGATCGGATTGTTCTTTGATTTTTCCTCCGTTTGGAGGCTCACTCCCGCTTGGGTGGTTGTGTCGCGCGTTCGTTTTCCTGTGCGCTTGGCCCATCACTTCGTTGGACTGCTCTACACTGGTGAGGCGCTTTGGGAGACTTGTCGCTGTGTCCTATTTGAACACCGGATGTTGTGGGGCGTTGACAAAAAACGTAGACAAGGTCCAGAGCTCTGCGCGAATATGTACGCAACGTAATTATTCAATCTTGAGGGTCTGCAGGACCCGTAATTTAGAGGATTAGGGACAAACGCAACTCGACTATTTCATAGAAGTCTGAGTTGTTTCCCGAACGTATGCAACCACGCGGTGGGTGGCGTACAAGTTAGAGCTTTTCCATTGATGCTTTTGTATTTTGCTGAAAAGTTTTTGGGTACCTCACCTTTGTAGCTATACGGATTGTTTTTCTTGCTTCCTGCTCTATCCATTTTTTGTCTACTTTTTCCTGAACTCCCTTATATCTTAAGTTTAACTTATGCTTAACTATTTCAATGGCTCGTCTTGTTTTTGCACTTCGTGTTTGTTGCTGCTGTTGTCAGTTGTTCGCCAATTGGAGGGTTTTTGGTAGCGTCGGGCGTGACTTTATCGTAACGTCGTCATCCGACCGTCTCTGTAAACCATGCATGAATTCCGCTGGTAGAGGCGGTTTGGTGAGGTTGTTCCGACCTAACCATGCTTTTTCGGCATTTTCCCAATGTAGGTTGTTAGGGAGCTACTTGTTGCTATGTTGGAGAGGGGAGAATTCGGTTTTCTACCCATGTGAGCTTCGAAGGATAATTTTTTGTTACTACGTGTGGCGTGATGTGTAGTGTTTCTATAACTTCGGCTATATCCGAGGCAAGTTTATACGGTATGTTGTTCTTGTCTACCCTCATTCACCTAATCTACGTTTTAGTGTTTGAATCATTCTTTCTACCACCCCTATTGCTCTATGGTCATCTGCTGGCGAAAGATTAGATCAAATTTATTTGTGTTGCAAAACAGTTGAAAATTTTTGGGCCCTAATTTTTATGCTTGGTCAAACCTTAACCGTCGGGGTACCCCGTTGCTTGAGATACATCGTTTCATGATTTTTATTGCAATATCTGCCGTTGTGTTTGATCCAATTTTCGCTATGGGGAATTTAGACCATATATCTATCGTAACCAAATTTTATGCATCCTTCTTAAGTTCAACAGGGAGGGGCCCGGCGAAATCTAGCGATACTTCTTCATTTGGTTCGAACACCGGCTCCATTTGGAATGACTGTTCTTTGCCTACTATTGGCTTCAGGTTTTTACCTGGTTCTGTACAATGTCGGAAGTACTGAGCCATCTGGACTATTGAGCAATGTTTGCGTGGAAATCAAGCATATTGACACAAATCGACCACGGCTGGCGACCCAGGATGAATTAAGTGTAAGCTGTCTAGTTGCGTCGGGATAATGATTTTTTCATCAATCTGCAAACAGTCTTCTCTCACGTGTAATCTGTTTCGGATATTGAACCAGTTTTGTCCATACGAAGTCTTGATTGCATCGCAGTCTCGTTTTTTGACCAAATTTTTGAGTGGCTGCAAATTTCTGTCCTTTTTGATAGCGGCGGCGATGAATGTGACTCCAAGAACGTTTGGAGTTTTCTCCGGAGCAATGGTGTGCCCTCCTTTAATTCAAAATTTGTACCTTGGTTGATTGTGGTGACGATTCGTATCTATTTGTGTTTGTTACGTATTCGTAGGTAGGATTTTCGATATTTGGTATAAAATCTTCTTGGCTATATTAAGTTAGTTCCACGCAGCTAACGCAGTATTCTTATGTCTCGTGTAATTCTATGGAAAATTGGGTTTGAGTGGCGGCTGTCATCGTTTAAGCCTCTGTTTGTGCTGCTTGGGTAGCCATTTCCTGTGGCGTTGATGGTGGTTGAGTTTTTGTGATTGGTGGGTTGTCGCTAAAAACAATTTTTGGGGAAGTTCGATTGCCTTTTTTAGGTTGTGATGAGAAGAGGTCTCGTGCGTCTTTAACTCCTGCTGACGGGGAATTGTGGTTAATTTCGTTTTTTTTGTGACTGTTTTTCTCTTGTGCCACCGTGGATCGGACAGGCTTTCCTGTCTATCCGATGAACCCTACCATTGCTTTTTTTCCTGCCACGCAGCTCAAGCGTTTTCACATCATCCGCGTTGAACCCAGCATTACATATTTTAGCATTTTTTGCTGACTCATTTTCTCAAAGTGTTCCTGTACTAAATTGATAGAATATTTAGAATTTTGGTTTGAATATTTTGTTGACTGGATTTAGGATGGTTTTGAGCACAATTGATTTGTAATGAGTGTTTGAGAATGACCTCTTCCGAAATTTGCAGAATGTTTGAGTTTCGATTGAAAATTTGAAAACCTAGTTAGCGTTCTTGTATTTTCCGCGCGCTTTTTGATCAGCCGATACGGTGCCTTGTTCTGATTGGCTAGGTTGTTCAGTATGACCTAGTCAATTATTTCCAGGTTGTTTATGGATGAATTGATTGAAGCTACTACAAATTCTTCATCTTACGCGCTTGGGAGTTTTGCTAATCTAACCGGATTTTGTGACATTTAGTCTTCTAGTCACGTTTTTTCCCTGCTCAATGTTTTATGTCAAAAGGATCGGCCAGTCAATCAACCGGGTTAACCTGCATTGACTGGTTTATAATCTTTCATTTGCGTTTAACGCTTTCCTTTGCGTTTAAAGCTTTCAAATACGATGATTAAAGCTTGATGGTCCGTTATGACGGTAAAGTGCATTCTGTATAAATAAAATTTAAAGTGTTCGTTGGCCCAAACTACCACGAGTAATTCTAGCTCGTTAGCAGAATACGTTTCTTCTAGAGAATTGAGAAAACGTGAAGATATGCTACGGCCACCCAGAATTCCGGGGAATATTGCTTCAATTCGTCCCCTAAGCTTAACGTGGACGGGTCGCATACCACGCGGGTATCCAGGTTATGGTCAAAATACTGATTTTGAGTTATTTTTGTAACTAACGTTAGAATGTTGTTAAATGTTGTTTTGTGTTCAGGTTTCCATTAAATTGATGTTTTTCTGTTTTCTAGCAGTGGGTGGAGGGCGGCGGCAGTTTTTGCAAAATTAGGGATGTATTGTGTTAAGTGAGGTATAGAGCCTATGAAGGTTTTAGGTTATTTAAAAGTTTTTGGTGGTGTTAATTTATCAATAGCCTCTGTTTTCTTTATTAGTGGCTTAGTTCGTTCACTGGTGATCTTGTACCCTAACCATTCAACTTATTCGCATGCAAACTTAAATTTGTCTAGAGATATTGCGAGGTTTTCTTTGTCTAAATTTTTCAGAACTGTTTGTGGTTTTTCTTTATTAGTCTCGGGTGATCCTTTTGTTTTTATTAACATGTCATCCAGATAGGCGTATGTATTTGTAAAGTTGGCGAGGCTTAGGTCAATGGCCCTCTGAAGCTCGGCCGGCATGTCAGTAAGGCCGTAAAATCCGGTCTGAAATTGTTAAGTCCCTGTGGCGTCACATCCGAAGAGGCTAAAGTTGCACTGTTCTCTGGTTTGTTTGTCCAACGGGATTTAAGAGTATGCGTATCTTAGATCAACGTAGAAAATAACGTTTGTCAAGTTTTGTCTGATTTTACCACCTGCGCAATAATTTCCAAAAGGAGATCTATGTTTGGCATCTGGCATTTATTTTTGTGGATAAATTCGTTGATCTGTTTAGAATCTAGTACCAATTTGAGTGTCTGGTCCTTTTAAATTGTTATTGCGATTGGGCTAACAAGTTGTCTATCCAAACATTTACTTAATTTGATTTCGTGATTTTGATCAATTAGCTTGCTGACTTCTTTTTCAACACGTTCTTGCAATTGTTTTGGCATTTGGCATACTTTGCTGCTGAATTGGGGTTGTGTCTTTGCTGAATTCCGTTCGCATCACCTGAATTTCTGTTTTCCGACTCGTATACACAATTATTTGAAATTGTCTCTGACTCGCTGTTTTAAAATTGTATAGGAAATTGTTCAAAATTGTCTCTGACTCACTGTTTTACTTCCGTGTTTGATTTTTT